TCAAATCACACCTTGGTCCTAAACCCAACCCCCGACCCACCAACGGGATTTAAACCAAATGTGGACCCAACTTTTGTCCCCTAATGCACCAGATGCCCCCAGATTTAGGCATTTTGTCTTAACATTGCCCACAAATGTCAGCAAAAACAACCACACACACACACACACACACACACACACACACACACACACACACACACAGGTCCTGATCCTTTCACATTCCATCCATATGGACCTGATTTTGATATTGGAGGATGAAAGCTGTGCACCAGCACCAGCAGCAGGGTCAGCAGCTGCAGCAGGGTCAGCAGCTGCAGCAGGGTCAGCAGCTGCAGCAGGGTCAGCAGCAGCAGCAGCAGGGTCAGCAGCTGCAGCAGGGTCAGCAGCTGCAGCAGGGTCAGCAGCTGCAGCAGGGTCAGCTGCAGCAGCAGCAGAAGGGTCAGCAGGTGGTTCTTACCCAGGTGGGTTCAGGAGTCAGTCTCTGTTCTGGACAGGACTGCTGCACCGTCCGTAGAGTCCCTCCAGATCTCTTCAGGATGTCGTCCCCTACATGTACTACTGTGATCTGACCCTGCTCCTCCTTTTAGACACAAAAGATTAACTGTGAACTACTGTTCATAAAGACAAAGAGCGTTTCAACTAGAACTCTTTAGTTTGAAGTCAGAGTCACCTCGCCCTCAGCAGAAAAGGATCCTTGGACTTTAGCTGACATTTTTTCTTGAACTGGAGTTTGAGGCTGCTGGATGAACAGGGCAGGGATTTTCTGCAAAGACATGGTGAAACATGGAGTTCAGAATCCCTGACATTAATCAGCTGACAGATCAACAGACCCACCTTCTCCAGGTCCAGCAGCAGAGCCTGGAGCTGGTCCACTACTTTAAAGACCATCAGAGTCTCTTCTGCCTTGTCCGGAAGACAGAGGTCTGGTTTACATTTCTGGATCTCAGCCACAGTTCTCCTCATGGACTGGATCTTCTGTTCAATCGTCTGTGAACATCAAGATAAAACACTGAACATCCCAGCCTTCTTTAAATGAATGAGTGAATGCAGCAGTTTTGGTCCAGAGACGGTTCTGGTCAGACCTTCAGAGTGTCCTCTCTGGGGCTGGGCAAGGCCTCTGAAGAGGACAACATGGTTTTTATTTCAGCGACATCGCTCTCCATCTGCCTGACTTCACTTTCGATGGCCTCCACCTCCTTCCAGACACACAGGGATGTGATGAGGTCAGCATGCTCACAGAGTAAAAGCATCTGTTGTGCAGAACGTGAGACTTACTGCAGCAGCGTGCTCCAGCTGAGACAGAGGAGCCGTAAAACTGTCCTGAACCTGGGCCACGTGGCGGTCAGCACGGACCAGCTGCTCCTGCAGAGCCGTGACATCACAGAGCTGAGACATGTCCCCCAGGACGGCACCGAAGCCCTGCAGCGTCTTCCTGATCTGACCCGCATCGTCCAACACCACCTGCACCCGGAGCCAGAGTCAGGCCTCAGAACGAGCTGAGGCAGGAACAGGTGTGAGCACGCACACCTTACCTGGAGAGTGTGCACGTGGCTCCTCAAACACTTAGCTGAGGTGTACGTGCACGGAGCAGAGAGCCACGACTGAGCCTCAACAATCCAGCTGTTGGAGCTGCTGATCATCTCCTCATGCTCCTGGAGCCACTTGTGGGTCTGAACAGAACCAGACATGTGGGTCAGAACAGAACCAGACATGTGGGTNGAACAGAACCAGACATGTGGGTCAGAACAGAACCAGACATGTGGGTCAGAACAGAACCAGACATGTACGGTATGTGTGCCAAAACTAAGACTACTGCTCAACCAGCAGTTACTACATCCTTGTATCAGGAGGTTATATCTGTTCCTAATCCAGTTATTGATCTGATTAATGAGAGGTTAGCACCGCTAACAGAGAGGTTAGCACCGCTAACTGAGAGGTTAGCACCGCTAACAGAGAGGTTAGCACCGCTAACAGAGAGGTTAGCACCACTAACTGAGAGGCTGCAGCTGTAAATGAGGAGGAGACTATTTAAATGTTAGCATCGGAGAGGCTAGTGACTAGCATGGATAAGCTGCTCACCTACTTTATTAAACACACTTTTTTGAATAAAGAAAACTTTCTCAACAAAAACAGGTTCTCAAGTTTTGACCTGAGCTTGGAGTGAGATTTCGAGCCACTGAACACTTTTACCAACTCCTCAGGAAAAAAGTTGCTTTTGGTTTCCTAAAAGCTGCTAAATAACGTCATCGGCCAATTTGCATATTTATTTATTTTTGACGACAGTTGTGATCATGGCTGTGTGGTGCTTAATGTAGGAGAAAACTGAAAGAAATCACTCTGGTGGGGGTCTAGGGGTCCTCCCCCAGAAAATTTAGCATGAAGTAAACAGCATTTCCTGCATTCTGCTGTATTTTAACAGGTTGTTAAACAGACTTTTACCTACATCAGTAAACACTCGGTGAGTACTCTACAGGTCAAGTGGAGGGGGTTCTCAAACACTTTGGGTCTGGGGACCCCTTACAAGGATGAAAAATGTCCAGGGACCCCCTCATAAAGCCCATGTAGTTGTAAAAATAATTTACTGTCATTTTAATCCCTGAAGTCTCTAAATGGTCTCCTTCTGTTTCCCAGTGCTGCCCTCTCAGTTAGCGGTACCAGCCTGTCATTAATCAGATCATTAGCTGCTTTAGGAGCAGAWATAACCTCCTGATACAAGGATGCAGCAGCTGCTGGTAGTAAAATAGTCGTAGTTTTGRCCTTCATACTGCGCTACAGACAGAACAGAACCAAACACTGATCCATCAGTTGATCTGGTGGCCCTGCCCTCTCCCTCAGCTGGGACATGTTTTTAGTTAATCTGGGGACAGAGGGGACTCAGACATGAGACCACCTTGCTCAGCAGGGTGGTCCTCTGCTCAGCCTGTTTGGACACCAGGGAGTGGAGCTGCTGGACCTCCACCAGTCTCTCTGTCAGAACCAGAGTCTCATCCGGTTTCTCCAAGTCCTGCATTTCTACCTCCAGAGCTGCCAGTCTGGAGTGCCACACATCCAGGCCGTCCCACACGCGCTGAGGACAGAGACAGGTCAGAACTCAGGGGCTTCTTACCAACTGAACCAAAACAGAACTGAAGCAGACTTGTACCGACAGATCCTGGACCAGTGAAGCTGTGTAACCTGTTTGGACCATWCCGCTGAGGAGGACACCCACCTTCTGAGTGAGCTTCGCTTCAGCCACAGTTGGACTCCGGTCCTCCAGGCGGCTCTGGACTGATTTCAGCCCAGCCTGGATATCAGACAGCTTTACTCCCAGCCTGTGGACCGGACCGCTCCTCTTCACCGCCTCCCCCACCTGAGGAACCAATGAGAGACGAGACATGTCAGAACATGGAGACCTGCTCAGGTGGGACTGCCTGGAGCAGACTGGATCTGGGTCTGCAGTGATCCAACTACAGGATCCAGGATTTTACTCAAACAACCTGTGAGGAGCAGAGCGCTCTGATCCAAACAAACCTTTAGTTCTACTTCCTGCAGGGACTTTGTCACTTCCTGTAACTGGCTGTCAATCTCAGCTGGTACCGGGGTGTCTGGCTCAGAGTATTTCACCCTGAGGCTGTCCGTGATGCGCTGCAGCAAAGCCTTATGGGTAAACATGTGGCTGTACAGCTCCTGAAACAATGACCGCAGAAGGTTTGAACAAAGCAAGGTCTCCAAACGACRCTTTGTTCATCAGAAACTCACCTGCAGCTGCTGAGAGCTGCTGCTCTGCTCCATCTCTGACAGCACACTGTCTGCAGCTTCCAGCCAAACCCGAACCACCTGCAGCTCCTCGTGGACCTTCTCTCTGTCCTCCAGCTCCATCCTAGCAGTCAGCAAACCCTCGCTGCTCTTCTGCTTCACACTGAACACACACAGACACATGAAGTGACCCGAACATCAGGTCAGTGGGACCAGGTCCAAATCCAGTTCAGAGACACATCACAGGTCAGGTTCTGCTAATCCAGATCAGGTTCTCTTTGGGTTCTCCAGAAAACATGAAAAACCTTGAAGACAGACAGACAGATGTGACGGAGGACCTGCTGACTCTGATGGAAGGTGGTGGTGGATCATCTTTGACCTGAAACAAGCTGCTCATCATTCAGACTTTGTGAACTTTCAGCTCAACAAGGTTTGGTTGGTCTTAAAAACAGTTTGTAAAACAAAAACCTCTTTAAATCTAAAGAAAAATCAAACACATCAAAATTTTAAAGAAACAGCTGAAAACTTGGAGGAAMTGAAACAAGATTCAGGTTTTCACTGAACACAAAGATTTTTGTTGTTTTAGTTTGATGTGTACATTACAAAAACAATTACTAAAAATTTTAAAAACATTTAAATAAACTGTGTAATACTGAAGCCAGCCAGATGAGGGCGCACACAGCCCAGGAGGGGAAAACAACCTTTTACAACTGCAGAAGACATCCAGCAGCTGAGCTGTAAGGCTGTGTCCAAATTCAGGAGCTCGGTCCTTTCAAGGAGCCAGCCTACCCAGTCAAGGTGAGCCGGGTCCTCGGTCAGCCACAAAGACCGGAAAAAAGTCCGTTTGGACATCTAGTCTTCAGCTTGATTCTGACAATAACCCTGTCTTATGTCCTGTCTCCTAGCAACCAAAACGATGCTAAACAAAAACAAAAATAGATTGAAATTATCAATATATCAATATATTAGTTTTATTAATGTCCTAAAACAACAAAATTAACTTAAAGGCAATATTTGAAGAAGTAATGCACCTGCTGTAGGTGATGTTTATTTCTCTATAGCAGCTGTTTGRTTTCTGACCAGAACAACATAAAAACAAGTTTATACAAATGATAAAAGTTTTAACACCACAACTGCTTTAAACTTTTAATTTTTATTCTGACAGGTTTTTATTTTAAACTGTATTCCTTTCTCTCACTTCATCTAACACTACGAGCAGGAGAAAAACTTCCTGTCACCCTGCAATGCATTATGGGATAGGGTGGACCGAGGAGGATCCATCGGACCGTCCTCATCTTCACACACCTGTTAWATCTGCTCTGCATCTGCTGCAGCTGCTGACAGAGTGGAGTGGGAGGAGCCTGCTCCAGGTGGGCGGGGACTCCCAGCAAGCGGGCCGCGCGCAGCTCCAGCGCAGACAGCGCTCGGTGTTCACAGTCCAGTCTGTCCTGGTACTGCTCCCAGGCCTGCAGCAGGTCCTGCAGCTCCTCGGAGGACGCCTTCACCTTGGAGCAGTCAGGAAGCTCCGCCTCCACCCTCTCCAACACCACACAGGCTTTCTCCACCTAAACAGTGCGAGCCAATCAGAGACTGTGTGCTGTCCTGGTTGTGTTCTCAGCCTGTGGATGATGTACTCACGCTGTCCGTGATGCTGAGCCACTCTGTGATCCTCTGTCTGCTCCGTGCTGCCAGCTTCTGGATGCAGCGCTGCAAACCTGACACCCGTCTGCAGGTGGAGGTGCCTGCAGCCTCCCTGCCTCCACGACAGCTCTGTTCTGGACACCACTCCCTCAGCTGCTCCAGATGTTCCAGCAGCGCCTCTGTCTCCTCAGACAGAACCTGAAGAACACAGGAACAGCTTTACCTTGGTTCCACAGGGACAGACGTGAGCAGACGGTTCTGCTGCACTGGTTCTGTGAGCAGTGTTGAACATACTCTGAGTTCGGCCTCCTGCTCGGTGCATTCACGCAGACAGGTGACTTTTTCACTGATGATCTCGAAGAATCGGTTTTCTGCACTCGTGATCTTCTGGAGGACTTCATCTCGACAGTTTGTGTAGTTCCTGTGCTGCTGTGCACACCTGGAAAACAAAACATGAAGTCTGAAGTCACGAGGTCCTCGAGTTCCAGAGATGCTTAGTGAATTTTACAAACTTTACTTTTAAACCTTGAAATTCCAACAGTTTCGTACTGAATGTTTAACAATAAAGGTTTTATGTGTTGTTGTTTTTCATGTGATCCTATCCCTGGAAGGTTTTTTTGGCACACTGACATGTCTCATTCTTTGGGCTCAGGAGTCTCCATGCTTTACCTGCTGAGACGCTCCAGGTGTACGTGACCTTTGGCCTGCAGAGTGGCCATCTGGACCAGCAGGGTGCTCACAACTGTCTCATGGAGCTTCTGAAACTTCTGAGGACACAGGAGAGTCTGCAGGGCAGCCTGGCTCTGCAGCTGCTCCATGTGGGTTTGGAAGTGATGCTGCAGGGAGGTCAACATCTGCTGAGTCTCTTCCACACTGTCAGAGCAGACAGCAGGCGAGTCCTGAAGGGTCAGGACCGAGAGCTCCATGTCCTGCAGGACCTGCACTGTGTCTTTAACAGCAGCACTGTAGCTTCTGAAGCACTGTCTGCCATGAAGGACCTTCTCCTGGAGACAACATGTGGACATCTGTGACTTTCCTCTTTCTGAGACCATCCAACTGTCATCCAACTGTCATCCAACCACCATCCAACTGTCATCCAACTGTCATCCAACTGTCATCCAACTGTCATCCATCATCCAACTGTCATCCAACCACCATCCAACTGTCATCCAACTGTCATCCAACTGTCATCCATCATCCAACTGTCATCAACCATCATCCAACTGTCATCAACCATCATCCAACTGTCATCAACCATCATCCAACTGTCATCCAACTGTCATCCACCATCATCC